TCTTTGTCTAACACTCTCAACTTGATATCCTTCCACCAAGCAATCCAGATTTTGGCTAGCTCATGACCATCGTAGTCTTCTGGAAAAAAATTCTCAATTTTTTTGTATCTTTCCATCATTCTTTTATTTAACTATAGTTTCCGATAGTGCTAACACTTGAACTTTGTATTTAATGACATACTCCATCACTGAATCGTGGTTAGAGGGGCAGTTGAAGCCCCTCGTATTCCAAATTGGCATTGTCATTGCACGCCAAGTCCTGAGTGGTGGCTCTTTTAACTGAATAGGGATACTATTGGCACAAACAACATCAAAGGAATCGGCTAACACAACTTGTGTAAGAATCATAGGGGTTCTATGTGTTCACCCTGTTAACCGCAATGTTAAACTCCTCCTGGGAAGGTAGTTCCCTAAACATGACGAGAGGAGTCTCCACTTTTTTGTGAAATCATCCCCACACTGTCTGCCATAGCTTGCTCCAACTCTTCTTGATCCTTAACACCTGAAATACTAGCCATACCCACCATCTTGACATTTTTCTTCCTCTAGACTCTCTTTGCTTTGCTTGTCCCTCTCTTGATAAAGCACATCCATGCCTAAAGATACAGAAATAATGACAACCCACTAGGGCATACTAAGATACACATCTCATTCATGCCATCAGGAGTAATACTAAGTCGATCTACCCTCTTTATTTTAGCGTTTATGCCTTATGACACACAATCTATATTATTTATCACTCTCATATTTTATACATTTTTTCCTTCTATCAATGCATGTTAGTGGTTCTTACTTTATTTCACATTGAATTCATAATTATTTGATTTATGAGCTTATGATAAACCTTGAGTGTGTTTTTGTACTATTTTATGCCTTTTGATGTTGTTTTGTACTTTTCAAGGGTATAATACACTCAAGATGAATATGTACCACCAAGGGACCCAATGGATAAGAAAGAGGATGAAAGCACAAGCCCATGGACTCAAACGAAGATGGATTCTGACACCATAAGCTTAAGTTATGGACCAGAGAATAGTAGTTCGAAGAGTATATAGGTTTCACAAAGTCCAAACTAGCTGAAATTTGAGGAGTAGCCCACTGAGGCCAAGATGAAGTTGTCCCAAAAATTGACCGATTTAAAGAAGAAAATCTAGCAGCGGGTACTAATACTATCCAAACGCTGCTCGGACCCAAGCCCTCTAAAAACTTCCTCTTCAATGTTACTTCGTCCCCAAGTAGAAAGAATCTGAGTCCAAGTCGTACAAGAAAAGTTTTGGCCGACTTTAGGAGGAAAGGGACTAAACCCCCTCCCCCTTATGTAACTAGTATAAATAGGAGGCTAGGCAAAGCTTTAAAACACACTTTTTACGGGAACTTTGCCCCAAGGGCATGAGTTAGAAATCCATAGAGTGGAGGCGTAACCCTGCTTGAGTTCTAAAAAGAGCCTTCACCATTGATGTGTGTATCAATGACGATGTTGTTCGAATTCCCTATGCTTTGTGTACTACTTTCAATGATTAAATGATGAAGCATATTGTATTTGATATCCTTACCATCGATGCTTGAGTTCATTTATGTTTGTATCATCTATTGCTCATTCAATTGATGCTCTTTAGTTGTTGATTGCTTTAGTTAATCTATGTGCGTGACTCCTGTCAAATGCTACTATAGTATTGTGGTTAATATTATTGAGATTTTTAAGAAATTACACTCTTGTGATATACATTGCCTTATGTATGCTTGTTTAGTTGGATGCATCTGTGCATGTTTACATGAGATCAATGCTTGATTGTTAGATCATTAATGCTATAGACTATGAGTTATGACTCAAGAGACCCACATTTAACTTATATTATCCTAACTTTTGTGTTCTTCATTGATAAGGTGATGGCGTGAAGTGAAAGCACACATTAGCTAGTCAAGTTCCTATTGCATGTCGCAAAAGATCAAGTAGGATGGCCTTACTGGAAGGGACAGTGCATCATAATAGATGATGCGTAGAAGCATCTCATTGATGAGTTAGTATGCATGATCATTTAGACATCACTACCTAAACATTACTTTTCATTACTTGTTTTCTTTCTTGCATTGGTGGCTTAGAAATCGAATACGGGCACCTCAACCCATCATATTTACTTTTCTTTTCTTTTCTTTGCATTGCATAATTTATTTCTTTGTTTGCATTAGTAGATTAGAAGTTCGACTAAAGGACACCTCAACCCATCATATTTATTTCTTTTTTAAGTTGAGGATTCCAGAAGAGTTTAGCAAGACTCTTATCAATCAAGCGAGCACACTTGGTTGTGGCGAGTATCTACCCCCACGTATCATTCACTTTTCGAGTTGTTGAGAGAAAAATTCAGAAAACCCTAAAAAGATCGAAGCTGCGACTTTGACAGAAGAACCTAAGCTTTCATGTGCTTGTGGATCTTATCAAGTGTTATTAAAGCTCCGGTTCAAATCACTGGACAGGAGAAGAAGATTACAAGCTTTCTGCAAGCTCTGACAATGGCTGAAGAGTTATGGCAAGGTAATCTGTTCTATACTTGTTGTTTGATTAAAGAGAAGTTGAGTTTTGTGCGGGTAGATGGAGGGATCAAATCAAATTTGATCAGCGCATGAACAGTGGAGATATTGGGGCTACCAACACATTTCCATCCCGCCATATTCTATGCACCTTCCTGGCGAACAGATTCCAAGCGTCGAGTATACACAGACTCATGTGAAATTCAGCATTGGAGGCTAAGAAGAAGAGGTCTTGTGTGACGTGGTGTACAAGCTTACAAATCATCTTAGCTTGGACAAACATATTTCCAAGATCATGGAGTTCATCTGGTCAGCAAAAGGTCCAAAAGCTTCCGATTGACGCATCAGAAGAAGGTATTCATTTTGAAGCCTTTATCCCCGGAGGAAGTTGCTGATGATTTGAAGGCCTTGCAACATTTATGGCGGTAATATGAAGAAGACCAGATAGCCAAATATTCGTTGCTATCCGTAGCAACCAAAGGAACAGCAGGTAGAGCACAAGAGGTTGCCGAAGGAAGGACACAACTGCCACAAGCTTATGAGGAGGAGCAGAAGATCGAGGAAGTAAGAACACTTTCACATCAGGAGGCAACCGAAAAAGAGAAGTTTTCGATCAATTCCCCAGATCAAAAGTCGGTATAAGAGGTGGCAATAAAGGAAAGTGATGAAGGTGAAGTGGTTGAGATAGAACGAATTGAATCAAGCTATCATAATCCTTTTTGTTTTGATTCTGATCAGGATTTGAGGTGTACAAGCCTGCAAGCTTTGAGGACAAAGCTTTTTGAAGGGGGAGGGACTGATGTGATCCTGGGTGATGACCCAAAATCATTCCCATTGATGTTCAAAGAAGAAACCAAGTCAAAGGAAGAAGAAGCTGGAAATCTAGCTAAGTCTGGGAATCAGTTCGTGGTACCTACTTTGGAGGCTTACTCCTTTTGTTTGGGAGACATTCGAGGAAAGGTAGGAGATGGAGATGAAAGTAGAAGTGTTTATAAGCATCGTGAAAGTGTTAGATGATTGATTTGAAGCTTCCTGGATACCAAACGAGCTTCCTGAAGATCGTATGGTGACCAGTTGAAAATCCACCGTCTAGAAGCTAAAATCCACGACCTTGGAATTGAAGTACACACAGTGGATTTTGATTAGAACAATTTCACACCCAAGACACCAAAATTCACGACCATGGATTTGAGGAAGAGATCGTGAAATTTGACCTGACGAGTTTTGTTACCTTTTTCATTTAGAATTCTTTTCCTTTTTGGTGTTTTCATTAGGTTTACTTTTTCATACCTATTTAACGAGTTGTAAGCCACAAATTTGGGTAGAGGATATAGAGATTTTTGTTGAATGAAAATTAACTCTGAGGAGTTTTCCGCATAGAGCATGAGTGTTTATGGTTCATTGCTTTAGGTATCTGTGGATTCCATAGTTAGAGCAAGATCTTTGTTCGAGTTTTTCTGTTGAGGATTCCAGAAGATCTTAGCAAGAATCTTATCAATCAAGTGATCACACTTGACTGTGGCAAGTATCTACTCCCACGTATCCTTTACTTTTCGAGTTGTTGAGAGAAAATTCAGAAAACCCTTAAAAAGATCAAAGTTGCGCGACTTTGACAAAAGAACCTAAACTTTCACGAGTTTGGGATCTTACCAGCTGGTAGTGATGGAAGCGAGGGCTCTGAGATAGTAGTTGTCGGTTTGTGACGGTGGAAATTGTTTACGAGAGCTAGAAATTTGAAGCTTAGCAAACCTTGCCTTGCTTGTTGCTCGATAGCTTCAAACTCGCACAATTCATCTTAAACGAACCCTAGAAGGACTGTTTTGGTTGAACCTCAACGTTATAGGAGGGGAAGTCGAGTCAGAATTTGCCGCGGCGGAGATGGAGGGCTTTTATGGTTGCAGAGAGTTGAGAGGTTTTGAAGTTAACTGAAAAAAGTATATACATATATAAAATAAACAAGTTAATTGTGTAAGTTGGTGGGAGGGTAAATTAGACATTTTGACTCACTCCTATTAGCTAGTTAACAGAAAACTTGATGGAAGGGTAGATTTGTGATGTTGTTATGGACTTATGGTTGAAGGGCATGAAAGTTCAAAAATCTATTAGAGAGGTATATTTGTTAACTTACAAAAGTAAAGGGCTACAAAATGCTATTAACCCATAATATAAATCGGAAGAGAACATACATTATTGATATTTTATCAATTGCAAATCCTACTTGACACTCAATATGCAAGGAGTGAGATATGATCACTTCCTCTAAGGGGGTTGTGAGATTCACAACGAAGGGCATTTTGGGTATGAAAAAAATAAATTTATTTATTAATTATTTTCATATTAATAATACATTAGGAATTAAAAATCCATATTAAATACATGTTTAAAAAAAATTAAACCCTACAATTAATACACTTATAACTTTCTCTATCTCTCTCTTGTTTTTCCAGCCTCTCCGCTCCGACCGCCAACATTTCTCCGACTAGCAGATTTTTTCGGTGAAATCCTTCAATCAGACTCACTCCGGGAACCTGCAAAAAAGTAGCACTTCGTCAGTATGCTAGTGGCAGTGATTTTCGTCTAGTGGTACCGCTACCAGATTTGGAATATGAAAAATCACAGATCTGAAAAAAAAAAAGCAGAGGATTGGGAAAGGGAAAGGGAGGGGAGAGACGGTGACCTCGCGGCGGCACCGTGAAGACGGGAGGTGGTGGGAGGCGGAGGAATGGGGAGGCAGAGGCAGTGGTGGAGTAAAGATGGCGGCAGGCGCGGTAGGGGCAACGAGGGCAGCGTGGTGCGGCAAGGGCGATTGGGGCAGCATGGCCCTGCTAGGGGCGGCGGGGACAGCGTCAGCGCGAGGACAACGGGAGGAAGGCGGCGACGACAACGGTGTTGGAGGTCGGTGATGGAGCTCTTTGGCTGCTAGGGTTTTTTGTTAGAGATAGGCGAGAGGGGAAGAGGAGGGAGAAGAAGGGATTGGAGAGAAGGGGGTCTGGTTTTTTTTCTTTCTTGTTGCTAATGAAGAGTATTTAGATGGAAAATGGAAAGGATCTCATGTGGTAAGTTTTTCATTCCGAAATTGCCTATAGATTATTACATACTATTAATTTAAAAACAGGAAGAAAGAGAAGATAATGGAAGGTTAGGATATGAGTTGCCATTTTCACAAGCCTTAAAAGGAATGTGACGGTATCGCACCCCAATATGCAATTGTAAAGAAAATCGCTAATACGCACTTAAAAATATAGAAACTTGCATTAAATGAAAGTGAAGATAAGTCACATAGTAAATTAAAAAAAAAACTATATTTTTTCTCCCTTAATTGATGTGGAGATAGCTAGGCATACGTGGGAAGGGTGGAATTGTTAGTTGTTCATTTGAGGATAGGAGAATGTGAAAGAGAGGATGTGGTTGGTGAGATAGATTTGATCTATTAGACGGATTACTCTATAAAGACGACACATGGAATTGAAGAGAAGGATCTCAACTTTTAAGGATGGTTTCTTGTTCTTCATTTTCTCTCGCTATAAGTTGATCAACTTATTCTTAATTTAGTGGTCACATAACCATTTGTACTGGTCCACTTTTATGTATTTTCGTTTTTAACTCCTTATAAAAAATATTTTCGTTTTTAATATCTGAAATCACAGTTGTACTGTTTTTTAGTGAAGTCAACATGTTTGCATTGCCGTCTAAGCACATTTATTAAAGAAAGAGTAAAAGTATAATAAATATATAAATATGAAATCCACATTTATAATGTATACCAGATTGTAATTTTTGTGATATTTTTATCAATCAATACAATACAAAATTATCTTTCGTGAAAAAAAAAATTATTTGAGTCTTGCTTCAATCTAATATGATATTATATTCTGGGTTGATGTTATCAATTCTTATTCCATTTTTTCTTTACGAAGTTTGATCATCCAATTCATAACTAATTATTCCGATGAGAAATTCAAAACATATCACTGTCTGATGGTGTAGGCGACCGACAATGGAACGAAGTCAAATTTACTGTTTCCATCTCTTTAACCAGGTCTGCATCTCCAAAGAAAATGAAAGTGAAACGTCAGCTGAAACATAGCAGGAAGGGAAAGATCACGAAGAAGAAGAAGAAAACAGGTTCCAACTTAAATGGGAGCTATGGCCTCCCTCTCCCGCGATATAAGATTAAAGAAAATATAGTCCTGCAGGCTCTGCACCCGCACAAATCAGCACAAAAAGGGGGAAAGAATTATATTACAGTAAAGAAGGGCATCAATTCAAGACAATGGAGAACCAGAATCTTAAAGAAAAGGAGAGCTCAAACGATGCTGCTGGCCTGCTGCTGCTTCATTTTCAAGTTTCGTTCTGAATCCTCTGTTACTTTTGTCTAGACTCCCTTTTGGCCCATTCTCCCCTGTTTCTGGCCATGCCCGTTTGATCGCAGCCTTAGCCTTAATTTTGGCGCCAACTCAGAACTCAGCCAGGCAGAGGCCAGCACATAGAAATGGAACCAGAGAGAAGAACTGAAACAACACAAAACAAAAGCGAAAAGAAACCAACCCTTTTAACCAAAAAAGAAAAAGTAACTGATCAAAGCTTCTTCTTCACAATCGAAGGAACCCAATAAAGTAGAACTCCTCCTTATACATAAACGCGATGAAAGTATGGAACTTTTTGTAACTTTTCACTTGTAGTGCATAACAGGCACGCCAGAGTTCTTATCCCACAGTCCTCCTTCCTTCACATACTCGATGTACCTAGCGAACTCCGGCCTCGAAGTGGTCCTCTTGCTCTGGCGCCGTCGATCGAAGAGGCTGAAAAGTGGGTGGCTTTTGTTAACCTTCATCGCCGGTTTCACAGCCGGGACTGATGTCAAGCTCTGCTCCGCGGCCACCTTCTGACCTCTATCGGAACCTGGAAATCGAATTGGCATGGTGTTGGTCCTTTTAAGCTCATAATCACTGTCTCCTCCCAGAAGATCGGATGAAGAAGGTTCAGGATTGTCAGCTAGTTTTTCATACTTGCTGTGGCTTCTGCGGGTGCTCAATGTTCTCAACATGGTTGAAGGGTAATTGGTGGTTGGAATTGAAGTTGGGGAAAGGAGTGATTGTGGTTTCTTTGTTTTTTGATTTGGTGGAGAATTGATGGGTTGTGTTATGCTTTAACCTTCTGAGTGGGAAAACATGTTCTTATATGTGCAGAGGGCAAGAGAGATGATGGTTATGGTAGTAGGTGAAGAATCGGCCAGCAGAAGGGAAACTGCAGAGCAAGAAGGGAGTTTGTTAAACTTGGTCAGCAGCTGTGTCATTGTTTTTATTTTATTTTATATAAGCTGTGTCATTGTTATTGTATCCTTCTTCCTAGGTGTATTTTGGATCTTGTGGCTAGGATCGATATAGGAATTTGGTTAATTTGGGTCACTTTCAGTGAGGGCATATACAATTGTTTGTTAGTTAAAGCTTCATATTTTATCTTTGTGAATCTAACCAGTTGGACTTGGTATTTACTCATAGGTATGTTTGATTTGGTCCTAGTTAGTTATGTCTAATCTCATCTATGCCAAAAAAGAAATTAACTCATATACATTGATTCCAATTAAGTGGAAAGATTTTATGATGGTAACTAGTTGTTTGATGATAATTGATAATAGGTTAAGGATGTGAAAATTGATTATTTGAAAAATAAATTGTTATGTTGTATGAGATTCGAAGATGTTGATTAAAATGTGAGTTGGATTTCGAGTAGAATGTTTTGATAATTGAAGAGGTATATAGTTCTTTTTCATATGGTCTAAGAGTATCCACGTTGGGATTGCATTTTAAATTCTAAGATGCATATTTGTAAGCTTGCAAGTTGCAACAATGCAATTGCATATGCAAGTCAAGAAGGGCTAAATTTAATTATTGTGTAGTTTGTTGCTTGATGTGTGTAACACCCTCACCTGGCCAAGTACTACTTTTACCAAAATGCTCTTAATAAATTATAAACGTTAAATACGTGGGAGACAACGGAAGCATCGTGTAGAAAGAAACCAACATGAAAATTTAAAACATCACTGTGACGTGAATCATTTGACAAAAATCAAAAGCCTTCATAAAACTACATCAAGTCTTAGTCCCATCAGTTATCAAACTTATCTAACTGCATACTGGAGTCCCTGAAATCGCCGATCTTTAGATATACTGACGACTTTCTGAGCGTACTTCTTGAGCTTTTACAATTCCTGAATGCGGGCATGGGATCTGTCCTAATCCTAATTTCGCTATCATACCTAAACATATATGCATGCACATGCAATGCTTTTGCTACGCTATTGGGTAGATTAGTAGAAGTATATTATCATTAACATATTCTTACTTTTAGTATCTTCTTCTTACTTAACTTGAAATGGTATCTACTAAAATTCGTGGCTTACAATCCTTTAAATAGGTATGAAAAATAAACCTAATGAAAATACCAAAGGAAAATAATTTTAAATGAAAAAGGTTAAAAAAAATCCTTCCGGGGGTACTCCTGTTGGGGATTCTCCTATTATGGCCGGGCTTTACTGATGGTGAGGAATAACATCAACTTAGGCGGTGTATCACAATGGACCGAGCCACCGAGGAAACTGTGGGACGCGCCGCTGGTTGATGTGAAGTGCCCAGTTGAGCTGAGATTGTGGCAGACGATCGAGCAGAGCGGGCCAGGACGGGGGAAGTAGTGGGTCAAGCTAGAGCCAGACTCCAAGCTAAGGTATGAGGTGAAATAGTCAGCAAGAAGCCATGTTACGGGCTAGGACTTGACGACCCCGTCGGTATGTGCAAAAGAATGGGGTTGCGTTAACAGTAACTGTTGGGTCTAGGCTGGAAGGGAGTGATGGTCTAGGAAGAGAGGGTGGTCCAAAATTATTTTTGGAAACAACACAGTCAAATTGCGGCGTAAGGCCAAGAAAGTTACCTAATGTTTTGGGTTCTTGTATGCAATTGCTAGAACGGGAAGACAGTGCGCTTGAAATCGTCGAAACTTGTTTCAACCGGGACACGAAGATTGGACACTCTGAAATGAAATTTATAGCTTTTGATCACCACAAAGAAGGAAGACGAGTGGACAAAGCAGTAAACCTTGAAGATAGTGTTGGTCTCAAAGGAAGGGTATGGTAGAAATCTGCGGTTTCTGTTACTACTATATAGTTATCAGACAAAATACACCTGTATAGTCATAACTATTGACATCGTGATATAGCCAATTTTTTAGAAATACACAAAATGTCCAATTTCGTCCAAAATATTAACGGAGTCATTTTAGTTGTCGACTGGACTAACATTTTGCTTACGTGGCGACAATAATTTTTTTTTTAATGAAACACTTAAGAAAAAATATTGCCATGTGAAATTAACTAAATTCACTTGCATAGCCATAACTATCGACTTTGTGACAATAATAGCAAATTTCCGAGAAATACACAAAGTGTCCAGATTTTGAAACATGTTTGACAAATTTAACCACTTCCGTTAAAAACTTTAACATCATTAAAGATTATATCAGTTGCATTAACAAGATGCTGACGAGGATCTCACCTTGACGCACAGGTAAGCGACAACTCGACATGTCAAGTAAGCAAAAAACGTTAAGTTCAGTCAGCATCTAAAATGACTTCGTTAAAGTTTTAGACGAAATTGGACATTCTGTGTATTTATGAGAAATTGACAATTATTTTCACAAAGTCGATAGTTTTGGCTATACTGTATTATGTCATTAAAGTATGACGTGGTATCCTCGTCAACATCTTGTTGATGCAACTGGCGGAATCTCTAACGACGCAAAAGTTTTTAAGGAAAGTGGCTAAATTTGTCAAACATGTTTCTAAAATCTGGAGATTTTGTGTATTTCTCAGAAATTGACTATTATTGTTACAAAATCGATAATTATGATTATACAAGTGAATTTTGCCTAGTTATTATTAGAATTTTAGCTATGTTAGTAGTGTTCAGGTAGAACAA